TTCTGAAGAAGGGTCTAGGCCCGAAACGCCAGCTTTCCTGCTCCTCTGATGCTGCTTGGCCTGCTGTGTTCATCCAGCTCTACACCTTGTTATCTGTCTTAGGCTTGCTGCAGTGCTCCAACAAAGCTCAGCGCTAGCTGGAGGAACAATACCACTTGGAAACCCTGCAGCTTTCTGGACTCAATATTGAGTTTAACAATCTTAGGGATTGACCATCTTTCCCCCTGCTGTCCCCCACACACCCTCAGGCCTCATCATCACATGGGTTGCTACCATACACAACCCACTGTCAGCTACTAACAGTCCCCATTAGCAGCTATTCATTCTCTCAGACTGGTCTTTATCCACTTCTTTGTCTGTCTTACTATTTTCCATTGGGCTCTAACTCAACCTATTGTGTTCTCCTCCCTCCCACCCCACCCTATCTTCTGTGTAAAAACCATGCTTTTTCTAGCTACCACCAAATCTGAAGGTGGCTCACCAGACCTGAAATGTTATCTATATTAACACTGATTTCTCTCCACAGAGTTTAAGTGTGAGGTGTCGCATTTTGGAAAGTCAAATCAAGGTAGGAGCTTCATGGTGAATGGTAGGGCCTTAAGGAGTACAGTGGAACAGAGGGACCTTGGAGCACGGTTCCCTGAAAGTGGAGTCACAGGTAGGTAGGGAAATGAAGGCAGCTTTTGGCACACTGGCCTTCATCAGTTATGGCGCCGAGTACAGAAGTTGGGAAGTTATGTTGCAGTTGTACAGGACATTGGTGAGGCCACACTTGGAATATTGTGTTCAGTTGTGGTCACCTTGCTATAGGAAGGATGTTATTAATCTGGAAAGAGTGCAGAAAAAATTTACTAGAATGTTGCAAGGATCCAAGGGACTGAGTTATATGGAGAGGTTGGACAAACTAGGACTTTTTTTCTTTACAGCGTATGAGACTGAGGGGGGATCTTAAAGAGTGCATGAGATAATGAGAGGCATGGATAGGGTGAATACACTCAGTCTTTTTCCCAGGGTTGGCGAATCAAGGACTAGAGGGCATCAGTTTAAGGTCAGAGGGGAAAGGATACATGGGAACCTGAGGGGCAACTTTTTTTTTTATATACAGAGGGTGGTACATATATGGAATGAGCTGCCAGCGTAAGTGGTTGAGGCGGGTACAATAATAATGTTTAAAAGGCTTTGGATGAATAGAATGGATAGGAAAGTTTTAGAAAGCTACGGGCCAAGTGCAGGGAAATGGGGTTAGCGTGGATGGACATTTTAGTCATCATGGCCCTGTTTGTCTCCGTGCAGTAAGACTCTATAACTCTATGAGATGCTGTCAGACCTGCTGAATTTTCAGGCAATTTCTGTTTTTGTTAATGTTCATATAGTGCCTCTGAATGGCATGGCACTAATGGGGTGAACGGTCTTTAGCTGTTCTGCACTTTGAACATTCTTAATATCTTTGGTGGTGATAGTAATCTACCACTGGGTTTGTGGAAATTACTCGGTCTGACAATTGACTTCAGAGCTGGAAGGTAGATTTTCCTCAATTAACTATCTCTTTAAAAATCAGTTTGAGCATGAATGTGGACACACTCACTCTTTTTGTTAACTAGCTAAGAGAATATAAATATTTCAGTATTTATCACAGATTGCTTACTCACCTATTCATTTGCACTGGCATGCTCTGTAACATTTTCCAGATAATACTATTACCAAACATAGTTTAAATATTTGTAAATAATGTTAAATGAACGTGGACCTGTATGACAGCTTTATTTTATTTAAGGGGCCTTAATGGCAAGACCTGCTTATTGAAAAGAACCAGATCCAAAGGTTGCTTTTTATGACAGTGTTCTTGCGCTTAAAAAGCAATACAATGCTAATTTATTTATTTAATTAAGTACTTTCTCTGATTAAGTGTTTTAAGGATTTGAAGGAAGGACACATCTAAGTCAATTTAAGTGGTTGTCTTTCAGTCGGTGCAATAGAATATTTACTGCAGGCAAACCTCCTGTTCCTTGGCACATGTGAGCTCACACATACTGAAAGAGTTTTGTTCCTGATGGTGACATACCCATTTTTCTATTCAAGACCACTAGTTTCTCAAAACATTAAATAACAGACTTTGCATCAAGTTTGTAAAGTGCACAGGAGGTCCACAATCTGACTTGAAGATACCAAGAACTGCAGATGCTAGAGTCAGAGTCAACACAGGGTGGAGCTGGAGGAACACACCAGGTCAGGCAGCAGAGGAGCAGGAAAGTTGATGTTTTGGGTCATGTAGTTGTGAAGAAAGGTCCCGACCCGAAACGTCCACTTTCCTACTCCTCTGATGCTGCCTGTGTTCCTCCAGCTCCAGGCGGTGTTGAATCTGACTGGACTTCAGTGCTTGTTATAGCTCTGTTACACATGGGGCCAAGTCCAAGAGGTGTGAGGAGACTGCCTCAGGTTCTTAAACATTTATATTCCCAAGTCCAAAATAGGACTTGGCTGTAAAATTATGGCACCACTTACCTGGTGAAACACAATGCATTCACTCAGAAGTGGCAATAGAGCTGTGTTCTGGCATATCAAACTGGCCAGTTTTGATTGCTCAGTTTTTCAGTAGAAAAATCTGAAAATGATTGCCAACAAACAGAGCAAACTGCAATCAAAACCGTAATTAAAATCTTAAAGCAACATAGTCTGAATCATGTCACTAAAAGAAGCTATGTGCTATGGATAAGGTCTCCGTGTGTGAGAATTCAATAATTTTTTTCATTTGCAGCCTGGAGTGATTTTCCATTAAAAGCGCTGCTGCTAGTGGGGCCTGACTGATTTCACTGAGCAAGAAGCAAACAACTCCACCTGTCTCTCTTGTGTTTCTTCCCACTCTTCTTCTTTCTCTCTTTCCGCGACGATGAGGAACTTTCACAGCTGTGAGATAAAACACCACATTTACAATATAATAATTACCTGCACCGGTAAACACCTTAACAAATGGTTAGTACAGGAAATATCATATAGGACTTGTGAGCCCCACAGCTTTATTTGGAAGATAGGAAGATGAATCGGCATTACTCAAAACCTTAGTGCCTTCAGGGTCTTTTATTTAGGACACAAATTTGATTTGGAATTTTCTTCAGGACAGGACCAAATCAGGTTCTACCTAGAGATTCCCACTAAATGGACCTGTCTGGGGTTATAAGAGTGGAACTTACAAAAAAGAATCTAACCTTAAAATTAGAGCTTGCCAGGGTGATCTCAAGAAGCATAGAGAAAATGTCAAACTCTTTCTCTCAAGTAACGATAGAACTGAGTCAATTTAAAATTGCAAAACTGAGATTGGTGGTTTTTATTAGGCAACAGTATTAAGAATTAATGAGCCAAAAAGTATGCACATTGAGCTAAGGTGAGAATAGAAGGGTAGAACAGGTTTGATTGACTGAACGGTCCATTCCTGTTCCTCGGTTCTGAAAGAACTGAAAGCAACAGACATAAGAGATTTTGGGCTGAATTTTCCCATGGGTTTCAGGACAGCAACAGGAGTCCTGAAAAGAAATGGGGGTCCTGAGGCCACACTTGCTCGCTCTTGGACCTGGTTTTGTAAGTGGCTACCTCTTAGCTGGCACGCCAATTAAGGATGGCATATATACTCCCATTTCTTCTGTACTAACCAGAGGGCCAGCAGCTCCACTGTTAGAGGTTGATGCTGCTGAGGTAGGTTATAGATTGAGTTCTGAGGAAGGGTCACTGGAGCCGAAGCGTTAACTCTGATTTTTTCTTCACAGATGCTGCCAGACCTGCTGAGCTTTTCCAGCAACTTCTGTTTTTGTTCCTCATTATAGATTGAGAGGTTGTCTCAACATGGAGGTGCTCCCAAACAGGTAAATTTTAAAAGAAAAATTCCTAAGGGGCTGAAAAGTCACATCAATGGGAGTTGGATGGGAAAATCTTCCCGATAGTTTCGGACAGTGTGGCCTTCCCAGCCAATGGCCCCATTTCTACACCATCAAACCCTCCTGAGGCCCCAGAGACTGCCACAAGGAGGCTACCTCCAGCTAAAGTGCATTCAATGAGGACTTAACAGTGACAACTGGCTGTCCAATGAGCAAGTGGTTGCAGCCTACTGGTGGCAAAGCTCCAAGGGGTCAGGGAGCCATCCTGAAGCAGCTCTCTACTTTTTAAACCTGTCCAACCCCTGATGTCAATTCCTCCCTTGAACCTCCCCAATTCCATCTGCTGCAGCTTGTGATTGAATAGCCACTCACAATATTGGCCCATTTGTGGCACGGGCTTATGAGAGTAGGACAAGAACACATTTACTGTATTTCACCAGTTGTTGCACTCATACACAATGTCAAGCTTTGCCCCCACTATCCCTGACACTGCTGAGTTAAAGCAGGGAAACAAAGCTCAGTTTATTTGGGAAAGAAAAGATGGTTGTATCGCAAGGTGGAGAAGGGGTGGGTAGAACTTGAATAATGGTAAATGGAGGAGGACAGATAGAAATGACGTCTTTATTTCTGAATTGAAAAGCAAATATTCTCATTTTTGGAACATTATCCACCACCTTGAGGTGAAATCATTTTTTTTTGTCAGCTTTATAATCAAGTATGCATTAGTAGAGGGGAGAATGTCCTTGACTGGAATATAGAATTTCTGAAGAAATAACGTCAGGATAACTCATTACTCATCAATGACAAACATTTAAAAAGAGAGCATTGATAAACTGCAACAATTATTCATTCCTGTCTGTGTGGAGTTTGCACATTCTCCCCGTGTCTGCATGGTTTTCTGCTGGGTGCTCCAGTCTCCTCCCACAGTCCAAAGATGTGCAGGTTAGGTGGAATAGTCATGCTAAATTGGCCATTGTATCCAGATTAAGTGGGGACTAGCCATGGGAAATGCAGGGTTACAGGGAATAAGGTTGGGTGGATGGGTCTGGGTGGGATGCTCTTCAGAGAGTCGATGCGGATTCGATGGGCCAAATGTCCTGCTTCCACACTGTAGGGATTCTATGATTCCGTCTGGCACAAAAATAAAATGGTAGCTCGACCATGGCTAACAAGGGAAATTAGGGATAGTATTCCATCAAAGCAAGGGGCATACAAATCGGCCAAAAAATTGCAGAGCCAACGATTGGGAGCAGTTTAGATTTTGGCAAAGGCGGACAAAGGGATTGATTAAGAGGGGGAAAATAGTATATGAGTGTAAGCTTGTGGGAAACTGATTGTAAAGGCTTCTGTAAGTCTGCTGTGGAGGTGCCGGTGTTGGACTGGGGTGGACAAAGTCAGACAGCTGATGAAGGGGCTGCACTTCGAAAGCTTGTATGATTCCAACTAAACCTGTTGGACTGGTGTTGTGTGACTTCTGACTCTGAAGAAGAGAAAAAGATTAGTGAAGACTAATGTAGGTCCCTAACAGCCTGAAACATGTGAGGTGATAATGGGAAACAAAGAAGTGACAGACCAGTTAAATAAAATCTATTCAATTGGATCTGTCTTCCCAAAAGAAAATGTTGGGTAACACAAGGTCTAGTGACAGGGAGGAATGGAAGCAAATTAATATTACCAGGGAAATGGCGTTGGGGAAAATGATGGTATTAAAGGCCAATAAGTCCCCAGAGCCTGATAATCCACATCCCAGAGTATTTAAGCAAGTGTTCCTAGCAATTGAGTGTGCACAGGCGGTCATCTTTGAAGATTCTATACACTCTGGAACAGTTCCTACAGATTGGAGGGTAGCTACAGTAATACCACTATTTAAAAAAAGAGAGGTAGAGAGAAAACAAGGAGTTATAATCCAGCTAGCCTGATATCAGTAGTGGGGGAGAACGCTAGAGTCCATGATAAAAGAGTTAGCAGTATAGCACTTGAAAAACTTGAAAAGCTGGGTGTGAGGGAGTGCTCTGAGGAGGATGCAGAGATACAGTGTGATTTGAGCGAGTAGTCAAATGCCTGACAGATAAAATATAGTGTGGGCAAGTGTGGCAAGACTGACAAATGAAGGCAGACTGAATCACAGGTGTTCAGAAGAATGAGCATTAGCAACCTATAACATTCTAACAGGACTAGGCAGCGTAAAGGATGTTCCCAATAACTGGGGAATCCAGAACTAGCGATCACAGTTTAAGGTTATGGGACACTTGGGACACTTAAAATGAGGAGACATTTCTTCACCTAGAGAGTGGTGAGCCTGTGGAATTCTCTGCAACAGAATGTGGTTGAAGCCAAAACATTGGGTGCCTTCAAGAAGGAGGCAGATATAGTTCTCTAGGCTAAAAAAATCAAAAAGGTATAGGGTAACAGAGTGAACAAGGTATTGAGTTGGGTAATCAGCCATGATTATATTGATTAGTCGAGCAGGCTCAATGGGCTGAATGGCCTACTCCTGCTCCTAATTTCTATGTTTCTAGTACCAAAGAGGTTCAATGAGATATACATTGTAGATCATGCTCTGTGGTGGCTGTCTGGCAGAAAGCAGAGAGTGGGGATAAAGGGGTCTTTCTCAGGATGGCAGCTGGGGATGAGTGGTGTTCTGCAAGGGTCAGTGCTGGGACCACAGCTTTTCACTTTGTACATTAATGTTCTAGATGAAGGAACTGTGGGCATTCTGGCTAAGTTTGCAAGCGATACAAAGATAGGTGGAGGGACAGGTAGTATTGAGGAGGTGGCGAAGCTGCAGAAGGACTTGGACAGGTTAGGAGAGTGGGCAAAGAAGTGGCAGATGGAGTACAACGTGGGAAAGTGTGAGGTCATGCACTTTGGTAAGAAGATTGAAAGCATGGACTATTTTCTAAATGGGGAGAAAATTCCGAAGTCTGAAGTGCAAAGAGACTTGGGAGTTCTACTCCAGGATTCTCTCAAGGTAAACTTGCAGGTTGAGTTAGTAGTCAGGAAGGCAAATGCAATGTTGGCATTTATTTTGAGAGGCCTTGAATATAAAAGCAGGGATGTACTACTGACGCTTTATAAGGCTCTGATCAGGTCACATTTGGAGTATTGCGTACAGTTTTGGATCCCATATCTCAGGAAGGATGTATTGGCCCTGGAGCGGGTTCGGAGGAAGTTAACGAGAATGGTCCCAGGAATGGAAAGCTTAACATATGAGGAACGTTTGTGGACTCTGGGACTATACTCATTGGAGGTTAGACGGATGAGGGGGGATCTAATCGAAACGTTCAAAATACTGAATGGCCTGGACAAAGTGGATGTTGGGAAGATGCTTCCATTGGTAGGAGAGTCTAGGACCCAAGGACACAGCCTTAGAGTAAAGGGAAGGCTTTTTAGAACTGAGAAAAGGAGAAACTACTTCAGGCAGAGAGTGGTGAATCTATGGAATTCACTGCCGTAGAAGGCTGTGGAGGTCAGGTCATTGAGTACATTTAAGACTGAGATAGATAGGTTCTTGATTATCAAGGGGATCAAGGGTTACGGGAGAAAGCAGGGGAATGGGGTTGCGGAACTTATCAGCCACGACTGAATGGCGGAGCAGACTCGGTGGGCCGAATGGCCTAATTTCTGCTTCTATGTCTTATGGTATTATCTAGCTACCACTGCGTCAACTGTCTGGTGATAAAACAAGTGGTGAACCCATGAATTAAGGCACTGTGCCATCAGGTCCACTACTGGCTCACCCCTGGTCGGGTAGCAGGCAAAGTCTTGTTGTGATCTAATTCAGGCCTTCAACTGGGCATTAATGCCCCATTAAGAGTCCCATCAAACGACCAATCGGGTTTATCAGGCAGCAGGCAAAGTATAAACTGAATGTGTAGCCTGGCATGATTTGAGCTTCCAGGCTGCTAACCAGAGAAAGGTGGTGGGCAATACAGGCAGTAACCACCATTCCTGCTGTGGTGCAGAGATGCTCGCCTTCAATTGCTTGAGGCTCAATAAGGCAGGACTTCCTCCTGGAAATGGATGTGTGTCCAGCTC